TAGGGCGGTTCATCAACAACTTTTGGGTGTACGCCGTGTGGTCTGCACCGCATACCCTTACGTTACCCCGAGGGGCACTCATGTTAGGAAAGTTACCTCCAGCGTTGGATGAGTAACCGCCGAGGGCTCTTGCGAGACACCTCTCCCACACATCTAGCTTGAAACCGGCCAACGCCTGTTACCCGCAGATGCGGGATTGGGTGGTTGACCGATAACTTTACTGGGTGAGTGGGTCTGCACCGGGGGACTGTCAAACACCCATAAGAGAGAGACAGTGATCCCCCGCCACTCACCTCGATTTTTTCAAATGATTCATTACTGTGCTGATAATATCAATGTGATTTCAAACAATATAATTATTGTCACCTTTCTGTGTCTAAATGTATTTGCCACATAATACTTAAATATTTCTATTAGGAAAGTTCATTCATTGTTCATCTTAGCATTTGTTTTTTCTTCTTTTTTGTATTATTTACCTATCTAGGGATTCAATTCTATACAGCTCTTCAACCTGAAATCGAAATTTTAAGAGGTGATTATCAAAACCATGTGTTGGAATTGATTTGTAGGTTGAGTGGAAGAGCGCTGCTTCTCAACTCCTGCTGAGAAATCAAGAACTCTACCTTTTGTCAGGCATGTATATTTTGTTTGTTTTTTCTTTTTCGCTTTATCATATGTATAAGTATTTATATGTATATGTTTGTGATTTTCTAGTAATAAAATCGTTTATCATTATCATTATTATTATCCAACGTTTGTTCGAAGGTGGTTGACAATGTTTCGTGGTGTATTTCATGAGTTCGGACTTCCATTGTCTAATATAATATAAATTCATATGAAATCCCTGAAAAGCTAAAAATTAAAAAATATTATTAACAAAAATTTAAAAAAATGAAAGATTCCAAACCAAGTTACGTCTCGACCTTTCGATTGTTAGTATCCACAATCGTCGTCGTCAGCTTCTATTAATATTTCAATTTTTTATTTTTTTGGTTGTTGCTTGTATGTTATTTCTTTGTAACTTCAGTTTTTCTGTTTAATGAAATGTTATTTTTGGTTAATCTTTTTTAACCTTCCTTGTTTTCCTTGCTTGTCTGTTGTTTGTTTGTTTTCCGTTCAGTTTAACACACTACAATCGAAAATCCGCTAGCACGTTTCTATAAAAAAGATTGATTTCGAATTCGTTATGTACCCCTAATCACTTTTTCCACAGATTCATGATGGCTGTTTGACAAAATCATAAGCCTAATGAAACTGTAAACAATTATTTTCGTTCAGGGGATTACATCATAAGTTTTCCATTTATTTCCATTTTGTTTTTGTCGAAGTGGAATATATTTCAGTGGGTAATTGAAAATGTTTCCAATGTTGTTTTTTAAATTCTGATTTGAAATTTCAATTCAACATCGAATGGTTACACAATGTTTTTCATTAATGCAGAATTAATTAATATTATGAAATATCCACAATTCATCGAGAAGGAAAAAAGGCTGAAAGGAGCGGTAAAATACAGGGTGAGTCAACAAGATTCCCTCGAAACATCAATTTTTTCCGCAGTCATATCAATAAATACTATTTTTCAAAATTATTTTCTCGCATACTGGGTGATACAGCGGAGCGTGGCTAACCAAAGTTATATTTGTTCAAATGGAACACCCAGTATATGAATACGTCATTCGATTCCATATTTTTGTTTTCTAATTTCCATTGCGGCATTGCCAAGTTATTCCTATTTGTAGACAATGTTTTTTTAATTCACCACTCGCATGTCTACAGCAATTGAGTGGATTTTTTCAGAACTAGTTACTTAACATCACTATGATAATTTCGGCAATCTCAACTCTCGGAAACAATATATAGGGTACTCGGTAAAACCTGTCAAGTTCATTTCACTACATTTTTTATCATAGGTATACTATACGAAAAACAGATATCTTACAAATCATACCCAGATTTATTAATTGTTGTAACCATAAAAATAGTTATTTATTATACAAGGGAAAAAAGTATTAGATTTTAGCTCGAGGAAAAAAACGAGAGCTGAAATCTAATATTTTTCCCGTGTATAATACACAATTTTTTTCTGTGACGGGAAAAACGACGATTTAATATTGAAAAAAAATATATTATTACACTATATTGAAGTCAGAAAATTATCGATGTGAAATTTGAATTTTTAAACAGGTAGGCTGTTGTACTTATAGCGTTGCTAGGAAACCAATCAATAGAAAATCAAATATCTGACAATTTATGGGAAAAATATAACCCCTTCAATTCTGTCAATTTGATTCTGTGATTTGATTTAAAAATGAAGAACTTATTGGTCAGTAGTTATTTTGAAAAATGTCTAATTCCGAGTTTTCTCTGACTCCACCGGAGTTAGTAGAAGCAGCGAAAGTAGCATCACAAAAATTATTGCCAGCTAAATCGCGGAAAATTTATGAAACCGCGTATTCAAGATACATGGAATGGAAGATGAAAAAGACATGCAGTTCTTTCTCGGAGACGGTGTTATTGGCTTATTTTTTGGAACTGGCACAGCAACAAAAGCCATCAACAGTGTGGTCGAATTATTCAATGATTAAAAGTATGTTACAATCCAAAAATAATGTAGACATTTCAAAATATTTCAAACTATTCACATTTCTGCAACAAAATGGGAAAGGTTAAACGCCCAAGAAAGCTGCGATATTCACGAGTACACATATTAGTGACTTTTTAAATAGGTAATGCTCCGGATGAAGTTCATTTAATGGCCAAGGTTGTTGTTGTATTTGAGATTGCAGGAGCTTGTCGAATTTGTGAAATCAGCCAAGTAACATTAGATGATATTGAAGATTCTGGAACGTTATCAATTGTGAAACTCAAGCAAACAAAGAATGGTGTAAACAGGAGATTTGTAGTTTCTGAAGAATATATGAAATTTTACCGAATGTACATAGCCCTTCGTCCAGCAGCAGCAAAGGATCGCCGCCTGTTTTATGCATATCGCAATGGAAAATGTATCAATCAGGTTGTGGGTAGCAATGAGTTTTATAAGGTACTTGAAGTAGTGGCTAATTTTCTTCAACTTGAAAATGCCAATTTTCATTCATTCATTCATTCATTTCGAAGATCGTCTGCTACACTTTTAGTTGAATCTGGGGGAGACTTGATGACACTAAAGAAACATGGCGGTTGGAAGTCATCACCGGTCGCTGAAGGGTATGTTTGAATCGGTAGCACGCAGGACAGAAATAGCTAATAAAGTGTTTAGAACGTTTGGCAGTTCTGAAATAACATCCACACCCGATTTGTCTAAAATTAAATTTCTACCTTCACTTATGTGTTACTCACTTTTTTCCCAGGGAAAAAAGTAATTTCATAAAAAGTGACATTTTGTTACCTGTCATCAGAGATGAAATGTCAAACTTTTTTCCTGTCACAATATCATTTACGTTCACTTACTCAAAAGTTTTTCAATATGAACAAAAACGCCTACATTTTTTATCGAATAGAAGAGTCCATTTTCTCCAACCCATAATGCCAGTCTTTTTCAAACGAATTCTCTACACGTTCCAGCATATCCTCTAGAATTTGCTTAAAAGCTCTAGTAATTCTTCGTTTCATGTCCTCTATCTATATTGGAGGAGTTTGGTAGACAATCCATCTGATATATCCCCTTAAAAAAATACATTGTGGTCAGGTCAGGATTGTGGAAGGTAACAAATACCCAAAAAAGGTCGATATTACTAAAACTTGGTTTCATTTGTAAAATATCAGTTTTTCGTATAGTACACCTCTAATGAGAAATGAAGTGGAATGTTGAAACATTTCATACAAATGAAAAAATACAGAGTGTTCCATTTGAAAAAATTAATTATGTCTATTTGAAAATGAATGAAACTGGACTGGTTTTACCGAGCACTCTATATATTGTTCCCGAAAGGTGAGATTTCTGAAATCATCATAGTGATGTTGACTAACTATACCTTAGAAAAATCCACTAAATTGCTGTAGACATGCGGGTGGTGAATTAAAAAAATATTGTCTGCAAAATAGTTTTTATTCTGGAATAACTTGGCAACGCCGCAATGGAAATTCGAAAATAAAAAATCTTTAGAGAGCTAAGATAATATGGAATCAAATGATGCATCCATATACTGGGTGTTCCATTTAAAAAAGTATAACTTTGGTTTGCCCTGCTCAACTGAATCACCCAGTATGCGAGAAAATAATGTTCAAAGATAGTATTTATCGACATGACTGCAAAAAAAGTTGAGCATTCCGAAAAATTGTTTCGTCTAATAGCAATGGACCAAGGGAATCTTATTGACTAGCCCTGTATAAACATTGAATTACACGAAAGAAAAAATACACACTCTTATGTGAACACTGAATCATACAAAAACCACTTTTCTCTATTCAGTTTGTATTCAAAACATTCGTTATGGAATTGAATAAGATATCATTCTCAGGATCGCTACACAATATAGTATATGAAAGAGGTGAAATGAACGATGTCATCCTCAATGGTGGACAATGTGAACATCTTGTTCAAATTGAAAGTGGTAAATTTCCAAGATAATAAATGTTGGAAAAGAAAGGAATAGAAAGCCGAAACCTTTCATGTTCCAAAAATTACTCTCTCCAAAAAATATACCCCTTTCAATTTGAATTCCTACGGCAAGGATTGAATCGAGTTAAATTCAAATTACAATTAAATTTACTCACATATTTCATGAATATAATTGACTATTGTTCTACAAATTTACTATTTGTACATACAATCTCTGAATGTTATAAATTAACAATATATGAGTATTCAAATGATAAATATTTTATACAAATCGGACGTTAATTGAAAATTAGCATTAGTTCATTAGCATTTTCCTCAAGAGTATCAGCATTACATATTTCATACAGATTGTCAGAAAAAAAGTTTTTTCATCCGAGTAAAAATTCATAAAATATGAAATATGATTAAATCACGCTTTGAAATTAAATAAAAAATTACTCACATCTTTCATATGTATATTCAAAGGTTGTCCTACAATTATGCTCTTCATTACCATGTACTAGCTGAATATTTCTTTATGAATAATTATTAATATTTATAGTTTGTGTGAGAGTCCAATAACAATATATTATTTTGTGAACTGAATGTCAAAATTATTATTCTCGATTTCGGAAACGAACTCGTTCATCCAACAATACACAATATTTTCCTCACGTTAGTCTTTTCTCAACAACAAAAACAAGTAGAAACGTCAATTAAACTTCAGCGCCGAAGTCTCGTTTTCCACCGAACAAATTTAGCAACGGTCGATTCCTCATCGGCAGTATCTCGATGTGAACTGGAGAATCCGTAGTTGGGGATTTTGTGATTCATGGAGTTGCCATGAAAATTGAAACTTCGGAAGTTCATGCGCACCTCTCGAATTTTCATGAGCATCACCATGCCAGAGAATAGCTAACTCACATTTGAATTTTTTATAAGATAATCTTGTTGAAATATTAATTTCATCCCCATCCAGTTCGATGTGTGAAATAGTTTAGGTGCTGAAGGGCTTAATTTCGGTAGAATGCAATTATTGTATTCGGAGTGAAAAATATTATCATAAACTCCTCAACAAGTATGATATCTCAAAATCACATAGCTCACTTCGAAAAAGAGGAGGAATTTGAAAAACAACCAAGTAACTTTAGTAATCAATAGCTATTTTAATTGTGTAAAAGCCAAATGGAATAAGTTCATTATTTCGGTTACTGTACATATTTAAAAAAATCCTGAAACACGTCAAATGTAAATTATAATTTGACATTCTTCAACGTCAAAATTCTACCCCAACCTTCAATCCCCTTCGAATGACAGGTATAACCCCCAATTTTTTAAATGGCAAGTATAGGTTTGTGATATATCATTTGAAAAGTCTCTTCATTCTCTTTTCAAAAATGTTATCGCTATCAGGTTTATTACAACAATCAAGATAAAATAAATTAAAACCATATGGGTATCGAAATTCCATAAAATACACTCAAAAACTAAAATATAATGCAAAACGTAATGAAATGCAGAATACGAAGAAGAACTATGGATGTTAACGAAGTAGATGTTCAAAATGTTTACTGCAAACGTCTTGGTAACATCCTAATCTCAAATAAGACAGTCTCATAACACTACTTAATAATCAGGCGTGACCGACCTAATCGCAAGCGTTATACGTTCCTTTAGGTCATTTTAATCTGAAGGTTTAGTTTGTACACATTGTTCTCTACATATCCCCATGAAAAAGAATCTAATGATGAAAGATCAGGTGATCGCACTGGCCATTCAATCGATCGTCGCCTCCTTATCCAGCGATTAGGAAATGTTGTATCGAGGTATTGCCGGACATTAACTTGGTAATGTGGTGGTGCACCATCCTGAAACCATATCGTATTCACTGGAACTGGGTGGGTTTCCTGGATCAGGATATAAATTTGATTAACTCGGAATGACATCATTTTGAATTAGTGCCAAATAATTATCACCATTCAAGTTGCCCTCAATGAAAAAGAGAACAATGATATAATTTCCTACAATCCGTGCCCAAACATTAACCTTTTGAGGGTATTGCTTGTGTTCTTCTCTCATCAAGTGAGGATTTTTTTCCGTTGACCAGTAGCGGCAATTTTGCCGATTGGCATGACCATTAAAAGACAAAGTAAGCTCATCAGAAAACATAACGTCTTGTAATTGGCTGATATTGTTATCCAACATGTCCACCATTTGCCCTCAAAAATAAGTTATTATATCAAAATCGTCTTCCACGAGCTCCTCAGTAAGTATCATTTTTTTTGGGATGCATTTTATTTTCTTTCAATATGTTTACTGTCGATGTATGGCTAATATTGAAAATAGCGGATGCCTGTCTACTCGATGTATGTGGGTTTTCCTCAAACTCAAGCATCACATCTAATTTGAGTTCATTATTCACTGCATTGGCAGCTGCTTTTTTTATCTGCCCCACATGACTAAGCTCGTGAAACTGCTTCTCTATTTTGCTTATTGTTCCGTGAGATATGGGCGGTAAATTAGTAATAAATGTAGTAAATGAAAAAGACGAAATACTTCCTGTTGTGAAACTGTTATTTTATGCATTTCCGTTAAACTAACCATTTATCAGACTTGAAGTTAACGAACTTTAAACCTAAATTAAAATACTGACAACTAATGTTGTAAAACATACAAAACAAGTTGACAAGGCGTTTTAAACTAACGTTGCCAAGGACATTATTTACATTTTTTCAAGGATACCATATAAAAAAACTTTGCTATTGCCTAATAGCTATGCTATAGCCTAATTTCTTACTATCTTTACCTCAAAATGGAATAAGTTTTGAGTATATTGCAATAAGTTTTGAGTGTATTTTATCGAATTTCGGTAACACATGATTTTAATGTATTTTATCTTGATTGTTGCAATAAACTTGAAAGCGATATCATTTCTGAATAGAGAATAAAGAGACCTTCCAAACGACAAGCTTATACTTTCCTTTCGAAAAATTGGGGTTTGTACCTGTCATTCGACGGGGGTTGAAGATAGGGGTAGCAGTTTTCCGTTGAAGCATGTTGAATTATAATTTTAAGTTGAAATGTTTCCGGATTTTGTTAAAATATATACCGTAACCGTAATAATGAATTTATTCCATTTGGCTTTTACACACTGTATATTAATTCATTTCCCATGAGAGAATATTGAATTGGGATAGTCAAAAACACGTACAATGTAGATCAAACAAGTTCACATTGAGAGCTTTAGAATTCAAAAACTTGCCATTAAGATTTCTAAACATATTAGAAATATTGATAACAATATCTTTATGAGACATTTTTTTAAAGAACCATGTGTTGAATAAAGACATCCTGTAACAAGACATTTTTGAGTTGGTTTTTGAGAGTCAATAACGAATAACAATTTCTCAACAATCTAGTAAGAGAGCAGATATGTACTCTATTTTTACAGATTGGTAAATGGAAGTGATTTTGAGAACGAGTATTCACTTGATGTACATCAAGTCTATTCTTAAAAATATAAAGACACAATTCAGAAATATATAAGGATGGAAGTGTTAAGATTTCATATCTGCTGAAAAAACTTTCATAGCTCTCGGTACTAGATGCATTCATGATGCACCTCCTGAGACGTGGTTGACAATTCCCAGAATCTAAAACCACAACGCATATGACTCTCCACTTTCCCGTAGTGAACCATCAGCAATTGAGAATATGTGAGTACCGTTCTCAAATTTTTCAGAAGATCGCACTACGAATGGAGCACTGATATCAAACTCAAACAATGTACTTTCCAATCTAGATGTTCATCAATACACATTCCATGACATGGGTGGCAGACTTCGAAACTGGTATATCGTTTACAGTGAGATAGGTTTTTGTACATATTTTTTGATGGTTGTTAAACCAAATTGTTGCCAAAGACCGGATTAGCTCATTTCAAATATTAGAAGAATTTCATTAGAATGATCGACAAAAGAACAGAGATAGTATCTGCATACATTGTAACTTGAACATTTCTACGTAGTCTTTCAATATTATCAATATCTAGCAGAAATAACACAGGACCCAAAATAGAACCCTGTAAAACACCTATGTTGATAGTTTGAGAAGAAAGTTATATAAATCATGAAATTATGAAACATTTAAAATTAATTGGCGCTCCGGGGCGACTTCATTGATTCCAGTGGCGCATTTGCTTTTTCAACTACAGGAAAACCCTGAAAAGCCTGCAACACCACATCATCTGAAGATCTTGATTTGCCAATGTCCCCTCTTTCATAAAACAAAATTTAGGGTATCTCTAGAGGCTCCAATAAATTCTAGACATCGCCAGAACACTTACCGACACGACTATCGTCAAATTTAAACCAGTATGTTTCGTCTTTTACCAATGCGTAATAATGGCCATATTCAACGCCAGAACCACAGTGAACCATGACTGCATGAAGATTATAATAGTGGTCTGCTAGATTGAAAGATTCATCTATTTCGAACCTTTGTAAGAGTTTAGTGCGTCCGTCAGAGGTTGAGTCATGTTTGAAGATTGACTGGTGCCTGAGCTATACTTGTTTTCTTATAATAGTCAGTCAGTTTGGCGCATGTTTGGCAATACAGTTTATCATCACTCGTTAAAAGTTCCATTTTCAGTTATATTAGAAAACGCTCGTTGAAGTTCCAGAAAATCACATGTGTTTTTGCTACCTCTTGAACATTCATTACAAAATAAACAAGTGAAGATTTTTCCAGCAATGGATCTACAAACACAAGACGAGATAGACTGTACGGAATCATTCAATCCAGAGCGGTCAGGAGTACTTATTCTGCTATTGTTTTGCTCACGAAGAGTATTCAACAAGAACCCCAAGAATTCGGAACAAACCTCTTGTTGTCCTAACGAGTATCTAGTGACCTTCAAAGACTCCTGGAATTCGCTTGGTGGGAGAGATGATACATTCTTACGAAACTTCAACTGCATGAACAATTGTTTGAGTTTGGTGAATAAGTAGGAAACATTTTCGTCTACGTCTACGAATTCGTAAGGAAGAACATGTTTCACAGAATCTGTATCAGAACCATTTCTCATTGATATCAGCTAATGTAGAATTCGTAAGTCTCAACTCATTGCATTGTTCATTTCTCAAATATACTTGGCTTCACAGTATGATGCCAACAGAATCTCAGTTCGCAGTAGCGGTGCTTTACAGACTGCCCAATTTTCCCGTGCCTGAATTTTCATCCGAGTTTGAAGAGTGCCTGTCTACTCTTAGTCCCGAATTTGACCATATTATTTGTGCTGGTGATCTCAACATAGATTATTTAGATCCAGTGAGTATTTCGTGCGTTAGAATGAACAATATTTTGGATTCATTCGGTTTGGAGCAAATGATTGATGAACCGACTCGATATAGTGCGACTAGCAGTAGGCTCCTAGATCTTATCATTTGTTTTGAAACACTGAATATAAGCGACTGTACTACGGTTGATTGTAGTGTATTTACTGATCATCGCCTGGTATCATATAAAGTAGGTTTTCCTAAAACGAAAAATCGGACTTTCATGTATAGATATAGAGACTTCAAACGGTTTAACCAAGTTGATTTTAGCACTACTTTAGAAGAGATCGATTTGTATATAATGTATAACATGGAGGATTCGAATTATAAAGTTGATTTTTTCAACTCAAATATCCTTCGCATTTTTAGTATTTTTGCACCAGTAAGAACCGTGAGAATTTCCAAAAATAAAGCTCCTTGGTAAACAGAAAATTTAAAACTTTTGATGAAGTTAACAGATAGGGCTTCAGTAAGATACAGAAAAAAAAACACTGTACATCGGTGGAATTATTATAAGCATTTGAGAAATCTCACGAACAAAACGATAAACCTTGAGAAAAAAACGTACTTAGAATTCAGTTTACGAAATAAAAAACAACTATGGAAAGGACTAGCAGACTTTGACATATACAGTAAGAAATCAAACATGACGCTTCCAGATCACTTGTCTAATGT